CATTCTTCCTTCAACACTCAAATTTAAAATGTGACTTCCTTTTATTTTTATTTATTTTTTGGTACTGAGGATGGAAGCCTGAGGCACACAACCATTGAGCCACATCCCCAGCCCCTTTTTTTTGGTATTTTATTTAGAGACAGTCTCACTGAGTTGCTTAGGACGTCGCTAAGTGGCTGAAGCTGGCTTTGAATTCACAGTCCTCCTGTCAAATGTGACATCTTTATTCTGTGACTTTATTTGCTGCTTGATCATATCTCTAGTATGCTCTGCACTCATCCTCTTCAAACTGCTTTCGCCAACGTTTCCAAAGGTTAGACAACTGAACAATCTTGAGTTTTCTAAGTTTTTCTTTATATTTTCACATCACTTTACATTATCAGTAGTGAAGGAGATTACAGAAAAAGGGATATTCTCTGTAGTTTGGTGGTAAAATGTTGCATACCCAGTTCTCCAAGAGGGCAATGCTCTCATTTATAGCTTTTGCTAATTTCCATGGCTTGACTACTCTCAACATGGGTGATTTAGGCCTAACAATGTGATGTCACATGGAGTTGGGGGATATGTGAGTGATGAGTCATGGGGAGCTTGTGTAAACTGGTTCTTGTAAATCATTGGATATCCTCCTTGGGATGCTGTTAGTTGCTGCCTTTTGCAACATGAAAGACCTGGCATCATTTTCCATCACTCCAACTCTAGCCTCTCACCATTGTTCTCTTGTTCTCTTGCTTTCTGTGTCTTATGGTATCCACTAACTATAGACTTGGTTAGGCTTAGAAGTTTCATCCCTTTATTTTCTTGTTTGGTGTGTCCCTCTGCTTTTGCACACTTTTCTCCATTCCTGTAGCATAATGGATGATAACCTCCACAGAGCAGTCAAAGGCTCCCCATTCTAATTTCTTATCATATAACTTCCCTCCATTATCTCACATTCAATAAGGGTAATACTAGGCTTCAACAGATAAGAAGCCCCCACTAAAGCATATTCACTTTCTTCCACATCCTATTAGAAAGCATTAAATTCAAACCACATGTTTTAGTCAGTTTTTTTTTCTGCTATGAATAAAAGACCTGGACAATTATAGAGGAGTAAAAGTTTACTTGGTGGCTCAGAGTTTCAGAGATCTCAGTCCACAGATGGCCAGCTTTATTTCTCAGGGCTTGAGGTAAGGCTGAACATCATGGCAGATTAGAGTAGTAGAGGGGAACATCTCACATGATGATCAGAAAGTAGAGAAAAAGACTGTGTTTTCCAGATACCAAATATATACCCCCAAAGGCACGCCTCCAATGACCCTCTTCCTCCAGCCATACCCTACCCACCTTCAGTTATCACTCAGTTAATCCCATCAGGGGATTCATTCAGTGACTCAGTTAAGGCCCTCATAACTTAACCATTTCTTCTTTGAACATTCTTGCATTCTCTCACACATAAGATTTTGGGGGACACCTCACACCCAAACCATAACACCATATATCAGAAACTTTATGAATTGCCTTCATGTGAACATAAGACATGGGGATTATTATTCATATTTTATGGATTTAATAAATTCAAAGCTCAATTAATTTGATTAATTAATTCAAGTTAACCCATCCCATAAGCAGTGGAACTCAGATGCAGTTACAAGATCCATACCAAAACCTATCTTTATTTCCATTGCAACATCTTGTCTCTCAGCCAATGGGATGGTCTTCTTTTTTCTCCCATTAATTTTAAAATTATAGTAATTCTTTAGTTTTTTCTAACTGTTGTTGGCTACCAAGTCTTGTCTGTCCTCCCACTGAGTCAGTGTTTGTGCAAGTATCTGCCTCTCTCCTATGATATAAGCTTCTAAAAGCAAGAGCCATGCTTTAGTCATCATTTTATTCCTTGCTGTAACAAGATTCTTTGTACTGCTAAGAATTCAATCTTGATTTAATAAGTAAACTAACTAGTGAACAGTGACTTTGAACAGTATTTTGAATATTTTTTTGCTGTATTTGTACTGTGAGAGCATTTCTTTTTTTAATTTCTTTTTTTTATTCATTTTTTTTAAAAAATAAATGACAGTGGAATGCATTACAATTTTTATTACACATATACAGCACAATTTTTCATATCTCTGGTTGTCCATAAAGTATGTTGACACCAATTCATATCTTCGTACATGTACTTCGGATAATGAGTCCATCACATTCCACCATCATTGCTAACTCCCTCTCCTTTCCCTTTCCCTCCCACCCTTCTCCCCTATCTAGAATTCATCTATTCCTCCCATGATCCCCCTCCCTACCTGGCTATGAATCAACCTCCTTATATCAGAGAAAACATTCAGCATTTGTTTTTTTTTTTGGGGGGGGGATTGGCTAAATTCACTTAGCATTATCTTCTCCAATGCCATCAATTTACCTGCAAAAAAAATATGGAACCTTCATGAATTTGTGTGTCATCCTTGCTCAGGGGCTATGAGAGCATTTCTGTGTTATCTGTGTTGACAGCTATCAGTGATTTTTATATATGGCAGATCAGATTTTACACTGAAGAAATAGGCAGGTTTAGTTTGCTGCAGTGAGCAACAAAAATCATATGCAAAATATACTCATATTTTAGTACCAATCATGAAGTTTACCAATGCCTGGCTGTTTTCATCCCAAAGCTATTGTTCTCATTTCTAAACAGATTATGGTTTAGACTCCAGGGGATTTCACATGATTTTAGGGAAATGTCCCTCCTTGCATTTCTAACTAATCCAGGAGACTCCTAGGAAATCTCTTTATAGTTTCAGAAGTATTAATTAGGGTTCAGGACTCAGCAATCTATCCAAATGTCTCTGAATTGCAAGAGCTGAGTGCATGTTCTGCGATTAGTACAAATTGGCAAATGTGAGGGGTTTATATAGATAGCACTCTGCCTAAGTGCCTAAGTAGATGTATCATTGGATCTCTCCTGAATCTGTAGCTTCTAATTTATGCATCACCTGGGTGTATTTCCTACTCCCAGCATCACTGAGAAGATGCTTCATGATTGAGTGTGCCTCAGGGCTTTTCTATACATAGCAATTCATAGTGCCGCAGCAAGATTTTCTACCTAGGAAAGTCAGAGAGGCCATTTTGACCACTTCTAACTATAAAGATACTTAAATTCTCACAGCAGTGATCAACCCCAAAATTACCCATTTGCAATTTTTAAAATACATCTACTTTCTGCTATATTTTATGCTAATCTCATTTGCTGACACCTTGTTACCAAAAAGTTCTCAGTTAAAATTTATCATAAATATTTCCAAATGCATCATTGATCAGGTTCAATAACAAAGGGACTTAGAACAGTCTTAGAAGGCATTAGTTGTAAATATATTATTTTCAACAATACATGACAAATTGAAAAATGATGTACCAAGTAGAGCATCAGAGGCTTTTAAGTGAATGCAATGTAGAATATAGGTTCCAGAGATTTTTATCGGCAGGATAAACCCACTACAGAATAATCTATTTATCTAGCATTTCCTTTCATCTGAGCAGTCACAGTGAAGACTGAATCTAACAAAAAGGTTCTATTAATATGTTTCGGTTTATCTTCCATTGATGATCTGCAAGTGATGACCTATACTTTGAGAAGTTTGATTTCAATGTAAGTCTTCAGATAAATAAGTGACAGGGTAGCCCACTCATAGTCTATCAGTGGTGAAAGGTACAATTCTTTATTAATACGTTTGGTGAGAGTAAAACTTGATGAGGGTAAATCTGAGATGATTTTTTTTTGCTATATCATAGACCTTGCTATGATATAACCTTGACAATTATTTTTTCTTCTCTTATTTTGCAGAATTGAGCTTTGTCAAGAGAGGTGGGCATATGGGTGTTCATGATACTCTCAACACATAGTATCAAATTATACCTTGAGACTTTATATGGATCAAACCAAAATAGAATGGAACTTCTTATTTAGGCTTTTATTTGTTTTCACTTCAATTGTAGATTATATGGTGATATTGAAGGAAAGAGAAAAATGACATCTCAAAGTCCCACTTCATGTGATATTACTGTTAATGGATACTATTTTTAGAGGGCAATTCTACATAATAGTTAGTTCAGTCTGTGTTCCTACATTTTTCAAGTGATAGAATCATAACTGAATTAGTTTAGTGAGCCCAAATAAGTAGTAAGTAATGAAGTTTATATTCCAAATATTCCAATTGTAAGTGCACGGTTCATTGTGTCATTTTTCTGTTTTGTCATTACACTGTGTGTATGTGTGTGTCTATGTGTGTATGCATTATTCCATTTGCCTTATTTGATCTGCCTTTGTCTCTATTCTCTCTGAGCCTGGTTGCCTTGGTTACCATTACATATGCACTTGTATGTGAAGTATTCCTTTGACGTACATTTATTTCTATGGAAACAATGACATCATTGATGTGGGCAGGTGCTTAGAGAAAGCAAAGTGAAGAAGCATTGAATATTGGTCTTTCTTTGGTCATAAAATGTAACATTGAAGCAGTATTTGAACTAAAGAGCTATTTTTTGCTTTCATTTTGATTTGATCATGAAGCTACAATTTTTCTTGCTTATAGACTTGCTTGAATAAAATGAATTAGAACTGTAAAATACGTTATAGAAGTCATTATATGTAGTGTCATAAAATTCACCACATATACATATAATAATAAGAGTCATTTATTTAACCTTAAGAGTTTATGGTAGTAACATTTGTTATTGTCAAAAAATTGTGCAAGGAGTTTTATCTTAACATCAAAGCAAAGAGCAATAAGATGATGCATCAAGAAAAAAGAAAAAACATACTTATAGTCACTATTTTAAAAATCTTTAGCTTTAGAAACAGGAATATAACAAAGAATTGATGGTTATTAAACCCTCTTTCTTATGACATCAAATAAGTCCGTGTATAATTGGCATTCCATGTTAAATCTTAAGAGGTCTTAAACCTTTTTAAAAGGCTTGTATTTTCCTGTCTGTTTTATTTCCATGCTATTCAAGTTTATTTTTTCCCTTTGTAGATGATGTGGAAACCTGCCTATGATTTTCTCTATAATTGGAGTGCTCACTATGGAAATAGCTACAGAGATGTTTTACAAGACCTTCAATCAGCTTTGGACAGAATGAAAAACCCTGTAACCAAACAGTGGAGAGACTTAACTGGAGCTTTACTACTAGTAAATTCTTTGGAGATTTTGAGAGTAACTGCATTCTCTACTTCTGAGGATGTATAGGAATAGGGTGTGCTTTTTGGGAAAGGGAGAATGGTAGGGAGAGAGGTGTGAGTGTGTGTGTGTGTGTGTGTGTGTGTGTGTGTGTGTGTGTGTGTTTAAGAGAGGAAAAATATCTCAGAAAAATTACTTATTTTTTTCATGTTTGAAAAACTGCTTTTTACCTGGTCAAAGTAAGCCTACTGTTTTATCCAAGATTGGGTTTTATAATCAAACATGTTTTTCTATTTCAGAAGCAAACATTAGGCTGCTTTGTTGTTAAGAAAAAAAAAGCCCTCTCTCTCTCCTTCAAAGTTATTTCAATTTTCTGAAGTTAAATGACTGCTAGAATAATAAAATTTCACAGATATCAGAATAAACTAGAAGCTCAACATGAGCAATTGGATTTTTGCTGGAGGTGAGGGCAGAGAAGGAGCAAAATGACACTCAGTGGCCAGGAACAGGGCTCCCCTCCTTCTATGACACATGGCTGATTTCTTATGTTCCTGAGTAAAATTTGCCAGCATTACTCCAGCATTTCTAACGTGGAGAAACCAAGGACTGAAGAGGACACCCAAAGCCAGTATAAAGTTTTCTGCTTGAAAACCTGGTTCTGTTTTTAAGATGTTCATACCACATAACTGAATACTTAAAAAGAAAGAAAGAAACTGCATACAAAGCTTACAGGGAAATGATAGCCATCTCATTGTAATTGAAACTTGTTCTTTTTTTTCCCCATCTCTTTGCAAGACTGCCAGAAGGAAAACATGACTTATCATCACAAATCTGTGTCTGCAGATGCAGATGTGGACCTGGTGTTTTCATCAGCCTCCTTCAGCATGTTGGGTGATAGCTAATCCTGCCTAAGTCAGACTTTTTCTGCAAGATCCTAACGTAAAGTAGTTCTATACCTTTCAGGGATTTTTAATAACGAGTTATTAAAAAGAGCCACCATCAAAACCCAAATTAATCACTGTTGCATACAGCAGTTTTAACCACCCATAATATTAATATCATTGTATGCTTGCTCACAAAAATACATGTGTGTGCATGTGCATGTGAGAGTACACCAGCATGTTTTTCAATGCTCTTGGAAAACAAATATAAGATCTACGGCCTGTGAAAATGTTAATAGCCATCAGAGTTCACAAAAAGGTGGTTTGTGCTTACTCATATGTTCCATCCTCTGGTGCCCTTCGAGTGTTTGTGTTGGGACAGTCATTCACATATTGTTATTCAATGTGTACCTATCTGTGGCAGGCACCTAGATGCTTGAGGTTAGTAATGTGCAGAAAACATAATCCCTGACTTCTGTGATGTTAAGCGACAGTAACAGATAATAAGATTTGATACCATTAAATGTTAAGTGGTATCTATAGTGAAAACTGCATTGGAGAGGCTGTGATGCTAAGAGATACAGAGGTCCAAGGCCATCGTATAAATGGAATGGATATTTGATAAGTTTTCCCTGGGAAAGAAATGATGCTCCTGAAGGAGGACCAGGCATTGCACCTGATGTTGGGAAGGTGCTGGAACTCACTTAAGCCCCTAGACAGGAGAGAGCTGAGGAGCTCAGGGAGCCAGCTGAGCGAGTAGAGTTTGGAGGCCACATTAAAGCCGTTAAGACTGCTAGCATTTTGGAAGGAGAAAACACACCCTTAAAGGTAATGTGGATGAGCTAAATAAGGGTTTTGTTTTAGGATCCTGAATAAAAGATTGTCCATTTGGCTAAAAAAGTGAAAGTAGAATCTGTGTAGAGCTTTTAATCCACCCACCCTAAGGTAATTAGAATTTAAGAACAGTCCTTAAGACTTTCAGTATTTATATTTGATGGAGAATGCATCCTAACCAAGGAGTCATGTATACACATTCTAGGACAGAATTCATTTAATTGAAAATAAATTAAGGGAGAAGGAAAAACAACTGATTTGTAAATTCGGGACACAATCATTCTTAGTGATGATCTTGCTTTGTTCAGAACATTCTTGGAATCTTATTAACATGTCAGCAAACCAGTGAGTTTTGGGAAGGGATATTAAGGGATTAATAACTGGGTTTTTCCAGGCTACAAGATTCGAGAACATAGAGATCTTGTTAGCTGATTAGGGTAGTACAATTAAATAAACAATTTCAGATTTATACCTCATCATGTTTTAAGATTGTGGTTGGGAATTTTAAAGAGAGTTTTAAAAACTAGAAAAATATCACCTCTGTAATTAGGGGTTGAAACAATGACTTAAATAATAATAAATACAAAGATATTTTATAATCTTTCATTAAATTCTTCCAGGGGAATTTTAAGTCCATGTTCAAACATTGTTATAAATTCTAATATTTTTAACACATTTTTTTACTTTTCATATTTATATTTTTCTTGCAGTTATGGGTTTTCATAATCAGAAATGATTAAATTAGTGATCAGAAATTATCTTTGATATTTGGCATACAGTCCATGAAATTTATAAGGAACTTACACCCTATTCTTGACATCATTAAAAGCATCAAAAGCTATTAATCCAATACTACTTAGAGCATTTCAAAAGTGGAAAAAGATTAAATGATTTGTTCAGTTCCTCAGGCTTTTGGTCTAATGATGCATGAAGTAGGATGAGTTTTATTTCAGTCCCTAGCTTGCAATATGAGCCATAGAACCTCTGCTTTTTTCTGTGAAAATCTTCATATAAAACAGTAAGATTCATTCAACAGTGTGTCATTAACAGTTCATACTAATAATGGATATAGCACACTTTCATGTCCTATATTATAGAGGCTACTATGTAAGTTTTTGAACATGGGATGCCTAGATTTCGTGAAGAAGCAGAATACTAAATCAATGGATAGCATTGGGCTGAAAAATGCTAATGCTAGTAAACAGCAATGAATATGTGATGTGAATCTACAACAGAAAAACACAAGATTGGACAATGCCATATGTGGAAGTTTCAAAACTTCAATTTTCATACTTCGTTACCATGAATGATACTCTTAGCAATTTTAATGTTTAGGGAATATTTTAGACAATATAAAAGGAGATATATATGATTCCTTATTTTATATGTGTTTTCTCCCATGTGCTGCTGTCTGACATAGTGGAGTAAAGCAGAATCATATAACCCAAAGATTAAGTACCACAATCATGGTAGGTGACAGAATCCAAAGACATTTTGAAAATTAAACATAATGTTAGAGATGATTTCTTCCATGCCTACTTACCAATCTGCAGCACAAAATAAAAAGTGACTATAAACAGGAAACTTAAACTTGAACATACCATCTGATATATAGCTGGTATTCAGCATCAAGATTTCATCAAATGTTTTGAAATATAGTATATTTTACATTAACTTTCTGTTTATGTATATGCAGAAAGTTTTAAGCCTAATAATAAACAGTTTCACAATTTGGAAAATAGTGTAAGCTTATATAGGAGGGAATAGGGATGGGGAGATTTGAACTGGATAAAAATTTGTAATACCAAAGGAAATAATTCCAGGGCCAAGCACCCTTGGACAGCACAAATTGCTTCCCCTGCAATACATTAGTCCAGAAAATGAGGGCTGTGGTTTCTAATCTTTGCCCAATAGTCCCAGTAAGGGTTTAGAACTGTCACTTAGCCTCCTGGGCTTCAATTCTCTGATCAGTAAAAAGAGGAGTTTGAATGGGGAAACTCCTCAAGTTCCCTGTAAGTGTCTATGAATGTAGATACGTATAAGCAGAATATATTGTGGTTTTGTTTGTTCATTTCAATAAGAGGGAAGAAAATGTGAAGTAAGAATAATAATTTGAATAAAAGTTATTCACTTTAAAAGTGTCCTCTATTTGCAAGGCATAGCACAGTACATATACATAAACTGAGCACTTTACAAACATTATCTCATTTTTTCTTCATATTTCAATCTTATGAAATTGGTTATGAAATGTGTACTATTTTCAATATTTAGAATCACTGTTTTTAAGAATAATTTAATACTACTCAAACTACAGTACTAAGTTGGAAGGTCAGCAATAGTTCTTCCAGTAGGTACTCTGCCAAATATGTTTCTGTCTCATTGCAAAGGCCTTAGACCAATCCTTAAAGGCAAGAGTTTTTCAACTTGAGCAGAATCACCTGAAAGGCTTGTTGGGACCCGACTTCTTGGCTCCAACACCAACTTTTAGCAGGGTTGAGGTGAGACCTTTGCTTACCCAGTAGTTTCCCTTGTGATGCAGATTCTGCTAGTTCAGGGAACCTACTCTGAGAACCACTATTTCAAAGTTTCTTTCATCTATATAGAAACTAAATAATGTTTGTTAGATTAAAAAGATTTAGATAAGCAAAATTTTCATGTCATTCTGTTAAATAAGTTGTTAAAATTGTAGAAGAGAACTATAAATCAATTTAAATAATATATTTATTTACCTAAAATAAACTTTTGTCATCAGTTGATAATAGAAGCATAAAAATAATTTTAATTATAAAACTAAATAATTAAGATCTGTGTCTCATTTAAAATATTAGTATATCTGAATAAAAATATTTGATCATTTAGGACGTTTATTCAGTATATTAAGATAATTTTGATAAATGTATGTAATTTGTTCTATAAAATTTCCTTAGAGAAATCTTGTCCTTACTGACTTATCATTTGTTAATCTTGTTGTTAACTTTATTTTACCTTATTGAAAAAATATTTTCAACTAATGGGATGAATACAACCATTTCTATACCCTACTTTTGTTGTAGAACTACAAAATTATTTAATAAGCATTTGTTTATAAGGTAGCTAGATACTCTCTTCCCATCAAGAATTCCACATTTAAAGAGATAGTGACTAAGAAGGGGGTAACAAATTGAATGTTGACATAATATATCAAATTTCATCCTCTGCCATCATTTCTTATTCTTTGGTGGCTGATGGGGAGAATCTCTAGCTTCATGTTTTTCTGATTTTAAAAAAGACAGTGACTTTCGTTTTGTGCCTGAAAGCAGATTTTTAAAATGTTCCTAATACTTAAGTCCACCCTTAAACCCTTCAAATGTGTTGTTACATTTAATGTATTTATATATCTATGATTAGAGTTGAAAATAAAAGTTGTGACAAAATAGTTTGTTTTACTTAAACGAGTTCTACCAAACGCTGTCTTTAAAGAAGATTTTGGAATTGTCAAGTTTGGTATAATATCGTCTATACACATATTAGCTTAAATGGTATAACAGAATTAGCTACCACCCCCCTACTTACTATAATATAGGACTCCATTATGTGGGAGGGAAATACCTTCTTATGTTCCTAGGAAACACACACTTAATGCTTAGGACCTTCTATAATGGTGGAAAGTAAGGATGGTGTGGAGGGGAGACAGGGGTGTGAGGGTTGATCCAGTTCTTATGATAGGAGATATTTAATGCAGTGGAAACTGTCTTCCTGCCTTGTGTTAATTGTTTTAAAACTGGAAAATATCTTTCATCCTTCCTTTTTATCTGATCAATAATAAGATAGAAATGAACTGTTGTTTGGTTTTCTCTAGAGTGGATTTAATATTATTTAAGACTGTTTTTTAGAACTGCTAAGAAACTTCAGCTAAAGACAGCAGACCTACATTAAGATCATCATTTAGCAGTCTTTCAGGAGATGTTGTCAGAAAACCTATTTTAAACTGGCTTTAAGCACAAAGAATTTATAGTTTTCTCACAACTGAAAATTCCAGAGGCAGTTTCAAGCATTCCAGGATCAGAGCTTAAAGAGTGTGACCAAACTTGTGTTTGCTCTTTTATGTTTTTTCTTTCTCTGCTTTTTATGATTTCATCCTTGAGTTGCATAAAGTGGGCCCAGCAGGTCTGGGTTCTCCCTTCACAGGGACAAGAGCACTAACCTCACATTTACTCCTGTTCCAGTTTCAGACTTCTCTGGCCTTACATTGTGAGTTGGTTAAGCTAAAGAATGCTTCCCAGAATTCCCTTCACTGGTTAGGATTGGTCACAAAAGAAATCTGTACAAAATTCAGAAGGTAACAGTGGAACCGTAGCCATTTCTATTCATGGAAAATAGACATAGGCCAGGCCTTATTGTAGCCCCTGACTCAACTTGTTGGTCAAGGGCAGCTGACTAAGCACCAGCTACAATCTCCCTGGGTTCCCCTTCTTCCAAACCCTGTCCAGATGTGAGTGCCATTCTGCAGTGAGACTACCACTCGTCTTTCAGACTATTCATAGCATAGAGGATGGAATCAGAGAGAGACCAACATGGCGGGCAGGCAGTTGACAAAAGTACTTTGCAGTTGTTCTCCATCTCCTGAAAGTTCTTGTCTCCATTTTTTTTTCCTTCAGCCTGATCTGACTTCAGACTCTTTACCAAAGAGTAGCATGCATAAATGCATAAATGCTATTATCTGATCTAATCTGTATAATAAATCCTCATTGAAGTGGTTCTTGCTTCTAAGGCAACCTTGATTAAGTAAGTAAGACAATACTTTCTGATAACCCCACCAATGGAGTCATTCTGATTGGACAATTTAGGCTTCAAGTTTATCCCTCAGTCAGTCATTGAGAGCTGTAATAAGTGATCCTTCTATTGGATGGGCCTGGATCATAAGCTAATTTATTGACACCCTGCCAGGGTCTGAGAGCTTAAAGTCATTAAACACTGGGTAAAATCTGGATATGTTCCTGGAAATAGGAAGAGGTGGATACTGGGGAGGCCAACAGCAGTTTTCCCCTAAAAATGGGACATGAGATTTACCTCAGAACTATTTCTTGTACTAAGAAACCTTTTCCTCTTAAGTGTAATTCAAGGAGTTAAGTCTTATTCCTTTGCTTCAGACTGGGCAATGGGCCTATGTCTAGGTACTTCTGCACCAAATCAAACACTAAGTAAATGGAACTTCACAGGCAATGTCTGCTCTCCACATGCCAATTTATAAATTGCTGTTGTTATGATAGAACCACCAAAAACATCCTCAAGACTATGGGTGCACCTGACCCAGGCTTACTGTCTAGCAGGGCCAGTAATCCAGTGGATGCACTCTACCAGCTTTCAGAAATAACTAATGGGGAGAGTCTGAGAGAAGGTTCTAGAATGCCTGATTCAGAACATTGTAAAGTTAGAATCAGTGCCATGACTTGGTGAGAAACACTATGGCAATTTTCTTTGAAAATTTCCTGAATGAAATTATGAAACTAGGGCAAGGGCAGTTGTGTTTCCATCTTTTTCAGCTGTCTGAGTTTTTATTAGAGACCCTTATTTCCTTTTCTGAATAAGTAATAACCCAAAACGCCACCCAAAGGGAAAAAGGAACAGTGGTAAGGATGGAAGTAAATTAGAGGATTTTAAGACATCATCAAAAAATAAGGCAAAATGAAAGAGATAGTACACATGAAGATGCTGTTTGTTCTTTTTGTAAACGCATAACAGCTTTGTTAACATAATTCACATTTCATATGGTTAACCATTTCTGCTCAGTTTTAAGAACCCATAATATTTTTTTTTCTTAATATGTAGTCCCCATTTAATGCTTTTAAAATCATCTTCATAATTTACCATGCTTGGAGAAATGCTCTTCAGGAGGGAATATCACATTGCCATGTTTTTCAAGGTGGAATAGAATGCTGTGAGTTGTGGGGAAACAACAGATTAGTGATAAAGGTTGTTGGTGAGAGAAGTTGATATTGTATTTCTAAAGCTGATATTATATTTTCATGAGTTTTCACTGATAATTTGGAAGTAAAAAAAAAAAAGAACATTAACAACCCTCTTCTCAAACTCTTAGAGAACCTTTGTATTCCTTTCCATTTTGCTGAGAAGTTATTCTTTGCTTAAGAATAAAAGTTCAAGTTCCACTGTGAGAGTTACAGATTCAGGACAGTTAATTAATCCATTTGCCCTGGGTTTCTGCCTACAGCAAGGCTTTTAATCCAACTTTCAGGAAACTTCTGTTTTGTCCAGTTAGTAAATTCTGTGATTATTTACCAGAAAATTGCATTAGTTTGCCAGGGCTGCTGTAACAAAGTACCACAGATTTGTTAACTTAAAAAACCCCGGTTTTCTCACAACTTCACAGGCTAGAAGTAAGAACAAGGTTTTCACAGACTTTGTTCCTTCTGAGGGCCACAAGGGAAGGATTTGGTCCTGGCCTTTCTCCTTAGCCTATGAACAGTCATCTTCTCCCTGTGTCTTTACAAGGCCTCCCCTGCAGGCCTCTGTCATGTCTTTTTAATGAACACCATTCATCTTGGATTAGAACTCACCCTAGTGACCTCATTTTGACTTAATTACCTCTTAAAAGATCCTACCTCTAAATGTATTCACATTCTTAGGTACTGAGGGTTAGCACTTCAACAAATGAAAGGATGACATAATTGAGTTCACAACAAAAATGATTTGGTCAATCTTTATAGTTTTTTAACTCACTGAAATCAACTACTTTGGTCAAATGCATTTTAGACAATCATTAAATAAACCTTTACATTTTTTTTCTCCTTTTTTCTATCACCAGGAAGTTGTAGATATTTACAAAATGTGAGGAGGGGGAGGGACTCCAGAGCCCCAGGATGATCATAAATGCAGAGAGACAGACAGCCAATCTTGATAGCTGAAACTCTGTCCAGACATTGTTCTTTAACATCAGGCATGACGTACAAACTCTGCTTCTTAGAACTCTTAGACAACAACATTGCTGTGGATAACATAGACTTTTAGATAATTTCCCATGGGTGTTCTTTGATATCATGATAGGATCTGGATGCTGTAGAAAAGTAGTGCTCATTTGACAGGTGAGGAATTATGAAGATAGTTTAATAGACTGGGTGTTGGGGATGGGGACTGCAATAGGAATCTAGATCCTTTTGAGATATCTATCTATAGCTACAAATAGAGATTTAGATAAAACTATCTAAAATATTGGTGAGCACTGAGATGCCCAAGAAGCAAAACATGGAGCAAAACAAAACAATGGAAGTTTTAGATCACCCAGAAAGCACTCTCAGCAAAGCTCCTGGGAGAATGGTCTTAAGGCATATGGAGGGTAAGAAAGAAAGGACACACTGGACTCCTGAGGAGCCCAAGGAGATCATCCTGAACAGAGACTGAGAGAAGAGGCTGAAAAAATCTCCAACTGAGAACTGCAATTTGAGAGAAAAGGTTAAAAAATCTCCCCCAATTGCTATTTTTAACAAACTCCTTTCAGTATAATTAGGGTAAACAACATTTCCCAGTTTGCCCAAGACTGAGGGGTTTCCTGTGACATGAGGTTTTCAGTGCTAAAACCAGAAAAGTCCCAGACAAACCAAGACAGTTGGCCACTCTAAGTATAGAACACTGAAAGTCACTGTAAAAAATAAAAAGGAAAACTGGGGGAAATAGCACCTTAAATCATAATCAGGTACTTTGTAGCCTTGCTCAATACCCACTATAGTAACCCTACAGGAGGGAAGGATACAGGGTATTTTTA